CACTTTCAGTAAAGCCATTTTCCAATGTTCAGATTTCTAGGTAATCAGCAGGGATCCTATTTTTCTCTGCTTAAAAATCCAAAATTCTCTAGTAAAAAGAAGAAAAAATCCAACATTCTCTGATTAAAAACTCAGAAATCTGTGTTTTTCTGTGATTAAAATGAAAGGGCACTATATATACTGTAAAGGTATCAGATGAACACAATGGTTTTTTGACATATTTACAATTTTAAAGCAATTTGGAAGCCTACCCATGCCTCAATCATTATAATAAAGTATAGTCTAAATACCTGTATATTTTGGCGTTTGATTTTGGTTTTTTTATCATGGAAAATCGGAGCTTTCCCTGCCCCTTTGCTCACCAGGACATAGGTCCTGCTGCAGCTGTTCCTACAGCTGCTTTGTGGCAGTGAGCAGCACTGATATGCCAGTGCCCATGCTGGTGTCCCTTCCTCCCAACCCACAGCTGCCCAGCCCTGCCAGTGCCCCTCACTCCTGACTCGCAGTCCCTGCCTGCGGCCCACTTGCTCCCTCCAGGCAGCAGCTCCCCCCTGCACCAGGCCATGGATCCAGCTGAGGCTGTCCTGCCTGTTGCTTTGTGGCTCTGAGCAGTACCAGCCTCTGCTGTTGTGCTTCCCACACCTGTCTGGGCCGCAGAGGTCCCCATGCCCTTCCTGGAAAACCACTGACTGGGGCTCAGGGATTGGGCCAGAAACGCCTGTGGCTGGGCAAGCCCCTTGCCTTCCACGCCAGCCTCCCCCTACACAGCTGCTTTAGTGAGCCAGGGTGGGGGGAGGGCTCCAGGATCAGCTCTGAAGGCCACTTCTATCCAGAGTACCCCCTCTCTCCCATCATCTCTCTCTCTCTCGCTCACATTCACACACACGCTGACCCTGCTGTGACCTCTACCCTGGCCCATTGCAACCCCCCTGAGTGGTTTCTGGGATCAGAAATCCAGCAAGGCTGGTAAGGCCCTGGGCTAGGTGGGACAGCATGCGAGCTAGCCGTGCCACTCCTTTCCTCCACTTCCTGGACCCTGCTGCTCAGTACACCACCAGCTACCTCCTCCAGTGCTAGCCCTAGCAGAGCTGCCAGCAACCACAGGCCAGTGGGATGTAGTGCAGTTGGGCAATGATAGCCCCCAGTGCTCCAGCTCCAGGCACTGCCCCAGCTGGGCAGTGCCCTCAGCCCCAGCTCCCAACCCTGCCCCAAGGTCACCTGGCCTGGGGGCAGGGATGCAGCACGTGTTCCTTCCTTCCTGCACTGAACTGCTGCTACTGGTGCCCCAACTGAGCAGCGCCCCCAGCCCAACTAGGATGAGTCACAGTGGGATGAGGCAGCCCACACCCACCTTGACCTTGGCCTGCAGTGCAAGACGGGATGTTTGCCACCCACACACCCCTGCCCTGCCCCCCACCTGCCCTCCTAGCTCTCCCCGCAGGCCCTGGCTCCCCTGGCAGCATGATCCTCATCCAACCCACAGGGCCTCCCCCCAGCTGCCCCTCACCCCCAGGGTCCAGCCCCCAAAAGCTCTACTTAGCCCAAAGGCTGCAGGAGGGAAAGTGAGTGTAAGCCAGCCTTCTCAGGCCCTGCCCAGGGACAGGGCTTAGCGTTTCCTGCCCTTCTGCAAGTAGTTCTTGCAGGCTGGAACTCATCCAGCCTGCAGAGAGCTGTTTGCAAAGGAGGACACCTGCGTTTTCCTGCACTGAAGGGAAAAATCCATGTTTTTCCATGGGAAATGGAAAACCCAGATCTCTGGTAATCAGTAATTTATGGTGTTTAGCTGTGCTTATTGCATTGCATTGAAACTATATAATTTCAAAGAGAGGAGGACTAGCTGTAGGATATATGCTGCAGTTATTCATTATTTGTGTAATTATATACCTATTGATACTTATTCCCCACTTGTAAGAGTTGAAAGAAAAGTCTCATGGCAAAAGGTCTGCATGTGTTTTCTAATCTCTGCACACTTCATCTAGGTTGGAATGTCTCCAGTTGTCATTTATTGAACTATTTTTGGCTTCTAATAAAACAAAACTAGTTGGTTAATGCTTTCATGCTAAACTTTTAATTCTGTTAACTACGTGTACGCTTTTTTTTTTGTGTACAGTAAAGGATCAAACCATTCAAAGCACAGTTGGGAATAGCCTTTATAATAGAGCCTGAAAACTTTCAGCACAATCTCCTGTGATTAAGATAACCAAGCAACCATACACCTGTTTTTGTAGGTCTGTGCGTAGCTTCGGGTGGTGATTCGATTCGGAGGAGATTTGGCCTGATTCGGTGGCCGAATCTCCAAATCAGAATTGAATCAGGGAACCAGTTAAAAGGTCTGAATCAATTCGAAGCTCTCCAAATCTTTGGAAAAGATTCGGAGAGCTTCAATGACTTGGACAGTCCCTGCTGGCTGCAGCAGGGAGCTGAAGCCTGACTGGAAGCTGGTAAGTAGGGGGCAGGGGAGGGGGGGGTTGGAGGAGGAGGGAGGTCACTGGGGGGAACCCTGCCAGCTCCAACTGCTGCCCCACCCATCCCAGCTCCCAGTGCTTTAAAAAAAAGCCCCAACTCTCACCGGGTGCTGCTGGGTGGAGGGGCAATCCCCACTTCTCCCCCACTGCCCCATGCTGCATGGGGGGCTCTGCACAAGCCCCTCAAACCCCCATGCTCCCCCAGCCCCCCTCCCCTAGGTGGGCGCCACGCGCCCCCCTGGCCCTTTAAGGAAAAAAAAACCCAAGAAAAACCCTGGGATTCGCCGCTCCTGCAGTGGCCTCGGGGCTTCAGGGGACTCATGCAGAGTCCCCCACGTGGCACGGGGCAGCGGGGATTGTCCCCCACTGGACAGGAATGGTGAGTTTGTGGTTTTTTTCTTTTTTTTTTTTCCTTAAAGGGCCAGAGCTGGGGCAGGTAGGGCAGCCATGGGGGGACTGGAACAGTGGGGAGGGTTGGGGGGCTCATGCAGGACCCCACACAGCATGGGACATTGGGGGGCAGCAGGGATTGCCACCCCTGAAGTGCCAGGAGGTGGGCTGGGCAGGGCAGCTGTTGCTGGGGCTGGGAGAGTGGGCAGGGGATGGGTCTGCATGATTCGGAGATTCAGCAGCAGCCAAGCCTCCAAATCATATTTGGCCTAATTGATTCAGGACAGTGATTCAAATTGCCAAATCAAATCACTGTGCCCCGAATCGGCTGAATCCAAAGCAAATACTAGCCACTTCGCACAGGCCTACTGTTTTGATATAGCTGTAGTCTTTCCTTCTCCTGTCCCCACCCCTCCTATTTTTTACTTTCTCATCTCTTCTGGTTGTTTGTGTTTGGTTTGGTCTTCTCTTGTAAGCTTCAGAAGATGGAGATTGTGTCTTCATTGTATCCTGCAAGGAACTGTGCTTGTTTTCGGTGCGTGTAAATAACTAGAATTTGGGATGGGAAGTCATGTAGCTGTTTAATAGGGCTGTGCAAAGCTCCAGTCCCTGATTCAATTCGGTGGAGATTCAGCCCAATTTGTTGTCCCTATCTCCGAATCCGAATCGAATCAGAGGACCCTTTAATCTCTCCAAATTGAATTGGAGCCCTCCAAATTGATTCAGAAAGATTTGGAGATTTGGACATAGACACAGCTTTAAAAGTTTTTTCTACATACCTCTAGGTAGCAGGGGCTCGTGAACACTGCGATGCTGGGGTGGATGGAGCATCCCACAGGAGCGCAGGGGGCTTCCCAGCTTGCTTGGGAGCAAACCCAGAAGTGTACCAGAAGCACTTCTGGTCCACTTCTGGGTCTGCCGGGGAGCACACGGGGAGTCCTCCCTCACCTCCCTGGCTCAGCGACTGGTGCCTCCTGGATCTGGGGGGGGGGGCACTCGGGGTCCCCCCATGGCCAATCTTGGAGCCGAGGGGGTGTGGGGTAGCTCCCCAGAGCGCTCCCCGGCGGACCCGGAAGTGGACCAGAAGTACTTCTAGTCCATTTCTGGGTTCGCCACCAATCATGTAGAGGGCCGCCCTCCCCCCGTGGGACTCTCCATGCGCCCCAGCATCGCAGTGTTCACAAGCCGCGCTGGTACCTCGAAGTATGTAGAAAAGACTTTTAAAGCTGTGTCTGTGTCCGAATCACTGATTTTCTGAATCAGCATTACATCTTCAGATTCAGATTCGGCTGAATCGAATTGAGGACAGTGATCCGAATTAACAAATCGAATCACTGTCCCTGATTTGGGCTGAATCAGAATCGAATAGGGGCCGCTTCGCACACCCCTACTATTTAAATCCCTCTAAAAGAGATCGAAAGCATGTGAATAAAAACATTTAAATAGTTAATACTTAGTCTGCAGTTAGTAGCAGTTAGTACTGTCATAAAGTATTTTTAATGTTAACCAGCTGTTTAGAGGCTTGCTTTCCTGGTTTATTACTTCATTTGCTAGTGTCTAAGGTGCACAGTCATACCTGGAATATATTATACCATTTTGTGTATAAACAACTATGAGAAAGTAGTTCTATAAGAGAACTTAATTTTAGTACAATGCACAGTTATAATTAAAAATGTACAAGAGAGAATTTTATAGTTAGTAATGCAAGGTCATGCGTCTGTCCCCTTATTCTCTAAAATTGTCACAAAAAACTGAGTTCAAAGGTACGAATCTTATAACTGGCTTGGGAAAATCTGATCAAAATAAAATTAATGCAGATAAACTCTAGCGTCCAGGATTTATATGAATGAGACCATTTTTACCCTTGAAATGGAGAGTTCTGTTTTATGTCTTTTATTAAGCATCTGTTTAATGTCTCCCATAGAAAGAAACACCAGTAATAATAATATATTTTTTTTTACATGCATGTGCTTTCAGTACAGTAAATCAAAGTGGTCTGATCTTGACACTGTGGAGGCCTATCATAATCTCATTGACTTTAAAACTGAGTCTAACACATGGCCACATGCTTAAAATAATGGCGTTACATTTTAATTTCCACTGCCCTATGTCATTTTTGGTTTGTTTTGTGTGCTTTTTTTTCAGGGCTGATTTCTTGGACCCTTCATTGTGTTGCTTCTACATTGCAATATTAGAAGCAATGGCAAAAGAATTCATAAAAAACTGCTGCAAAAGATGTTTCTACATGGAAAAGGAAAAAAATGATTGTGAGTTTAGTCTTCTGATATTAATAGTTTATTAATGAGAAGTTGTCCTATTAATAAAATGCTATGTCATCCATTTCTTACAGATGAACTTGACTTTTTACAGTATCTACACTTCTTACTATTCCCTCATTTGAAGATTAAACTCATACTGAACAGCATTAGTAATCTGTTGGAAAATAGCTTTGTTATATTTGGTGTGTTCTGGAAGAGGGATGAGGAAACTCTTTTGCACCAAAAGGTGTGTGTAAGCCCTCAAATCCATGGCTTTACACTCTGGACTTGTAGTTGCACCTTTCAGTTGGTATGGTGCAGTAATGACTGTTTGCATGATGGAGCATGTGGTAATATTTTGCTAGAATTGACCTGAAAACAAGGTAATTGTTAGCCAAACATCTGAGCAATGAACATTTTGAACTAATACAAATGCATTCAGAACCAGTAAATTTCCAAGGGCTGGTTCTAAGTACAATGGTGGGAAGAAAAACCTATTTAAACCACAGTCTTATAAACACAAAAGATCTGTTAGGGCTATTGTTGAAAACTGAATGTACTTGTTACTTTTTTTTAGCAGTTTCCATGGAGAAGGAATCTGAAGCAGCAACCACAAGCAGGCCAAGCATTGTGGAGAAACCTCCATTGTCTTCTGTGTCGGTGAGGCGGCAAGTTGGGTGTTCAGAGGATTATCTCCTTTCCAAAATGCCATCAGATGGCAGAGAGGTCCCTTTTGTGGTCCCGCCTTTTAAACTAGCTTATATACAACCCAAGAGCCTGGGGAGTTCATCACATATTGGGGGAATTGAAGGTAAGCTAAAAATTAATTATTCTGAAATACCAAAACAAAGTGCTGAATAAACATGAGGGTCTTTCATTATACACATTCACTAGGTCATATTAACTAAGCCCAAACCATATAAATTGAATGTCTCTACAGAAGCATGTTTGCTTGTGACATTCCCAACTTTACCACCTAATTAAAATATGAGGGTAGATAATCTCAGCTTCTGGTGTTTATTCTGGCAATATAACAAATGGTGGATATTTTGTTTTGGACTTTTCCCCCTCCATTTTTTAAAAAAATCAAGCAGTTAAAAATGAGGGGCTAGTTAATGGGGTGGCCCATATATTGGTCCCAGAAACTGCTGTCCAATCACTGCTATATATTCACATATGCAGGAAGCCAAAATTGGGGAATGTTCCTTCTCTAAATATTTGGGGGAAATTTCAAGTCCTAGAATGTGTTCAGTGACCTAGACCCCCGCCTGTTCTTCAGTCACTGCTCACTTGCTATGCAAAAGAGGTTTAGAGAGAATGAAACCAACTGAGCTTCCACAAACAGAAATGTACAAAGACAACATCACATCACAAAGCTCCCAAGTCTAAAGTCACTCTCAGTTACAGAAGAAGCTTGATGGAAAACAAACTACCTGTCTCTCTGTGCCTCCATTCCTCTTCTTTAAAATGGGAACAGTAACACTGCCCTCCTTCATAGGGGTGGTATGAAGATAAATACATTAGGGATTGTGAATAGACAGTGATGGAACCAGATTGGTATCTTTGATTGACAGTTTTCTCTTTCCTGTTCTGCAGTTTTTTAACAAAGAGTATATGAATTAGATCCCTTATTCATTAAGATTCTTGCAACATTGATTTCTGGAGGACTTGGTCATAGCTGTGTTAGATTAGATTTCTACTTCTTCATAACTATGCTTCCCAAGTAAACATTCGATTTAATCTGGAGTATGGTTCTTATGGCAAATAAGCACCTGTGGCTTTCAGAATTTTGGAAAGCAGAAAAATGTACACTTTATACTTAGGAAAGAGAAACTGCTTTTAAGCTGTTGTTTGTGTTCAACAATGCAAAGTTTACTTTTTAAGAAGATTTACTGAATACAGAGAAATGTGCCCTATGCCTTCCTCACTGTAATGTAATATCAGCTGAAGCACCTGTACCGTTAAAGGAACAGTTTTCAGGTATTTGTTTTTCAGGTCATTGGTAAATCTCCGTAAAAGCCCAAATTCCACCTTTAATTTAGCCCTATTTTCTGCATGTCTGTGTTCATGCTTTCCTTTTCTTTAAACAGGATCTGCTCTCAGTATTGCTCCTGGCATCTTTACTGAAAAGAATTACTGGTTCATTCAGGCATATTTTCTTTGCAAACATCACTGTAGTTTGTATTTCGTGTTCTTGCATAAGAAGCTTATCTAGCAAAAGTATCTGCTTCTCTTGTCACATGCCAATTATCATGAAGCCATCCTCTAAAGCAGGGGCCAACCTTTTTCAAGCCATGAGCTGGAACAGCGTGGCTCCAGTCAACTTCAGCAGTGCATCAGCAGTGGGGTGGGGGCAGTTTCTGCATTCACACCAGGCTAAACAGTTGGGAGCTGTGCCTGCACCACCTGCTGCTGCCCAGCTGGAGCACAAGAGCAGCTTCCAGCAAATGGGTAGCTGCGCCAGAGCCAGGCAGCTGATTCATGTTGCCATCTCTCCTTGACCCCTTCCCCCACCTCCCAGCTGTGACATGCACACTGCATCCTTGGGGAAAGTATAGGTGGGGGCAGGAAGAAGCAATGGCAACACAGGCAGAACTCCTTGTGCTCAATCCTGGCATGGGCACATGCAAAGCCCACTGCGTCCACAGGCTGGATCTGTCCTCTGAGCCATGTGTTGCAAACCCCTGCTTTAAGGCACTGAAATGCACTGCACTCAGGCCTAATTTACACTTCTCATGTTAGTGCTTCTCATTTCAGGCTTCTGCTTATTCATCTGTTATAGATTATTTGTTTTGGTTATTCCTGTTTTATTTATTTGACTGCATCTAGGTGAATGGATAATATGGTGGTAATATGACCTAACTTTTATCTAATGCTTTCCATCAGAAGATGGCAATATGGTCTAACATTTTTTCCAACTGTGCCATTGGTCCAATAAAAGATATCACCAAAAAAACCTTGCTGCTTTATACAAGAAGTATCAATATTGTTGTATTCCACATGGGGAAACTGAGGCCAAGGACGGTGAAATAACTAGCTGAAGGTTATCTGGTAGGCCAGGGGAAGAGCTGGGACTACAGCTCAGGTCTCCTGATTCCAAGTTGAGTCCTTTGTCCACTGACCTAGACTGTTGGGTGTGGCTTGTTGCACCTCTCCCTGAATGAAAGACATCAACCTGTATTATTGTTCTGTAGACCAAGACCTAGACAAGTTTGTAGACAAGTACAAGTACATTGTCTGAACTGTAGCCTAAGACAAGACAAATACATTGTCTGAACTCATTAGATATAAAAAGAAAAAGAAATAGGGTGGCTGTGCTGTAATGCACTCAGTAAGAGGCTGGCAATCAGTCATTCTGTGGTCTATTCCTAACTTAGCCAACAACTTGAACGATCTTCACAAGTCATTTTGACCCCCTGCTGACAGGCCTCTTATGGAAATTAATTAAAGAGTATACTATATTTGCATTTTAATGTGTTATCTTCTGCAAAACCCTCCTGGAGGTTCTGGAGCCACTTAGCCAAGTACTGTATAGACCCCCATGGGTTAGAGCCAAAGTGAGGTCACAGCTTCCTGTGAATCCTGGTCTTGGTCTCAGTCTTTGATACTTTGTACTTTAAATACTTGGGTATTTATTAAGGGACTCTGAGAGAGCGTACATGCCTTTTCAGCTTAGAGTTTCATTTTCAGTCCAGTTGTTCCCAGCACCATTCTGAAATCTAGCATAAAGGTTTTTTGTTTTGTTTTTGTTTTCTTCTAAGCAGATATAATAAAAGACTGTGTCCTTTGCCCTTAAGAGGATGTTGCCTGCTTCATGAGCCCTGGCAACTTGTGCATTTGTTAGAGCTCTTACATTTGCTGTCTGCTATGTTCTGCAGGATATGCTAGAGCTTCTTTTGGTGACCGAAAAGCAGAACTATCCAGTATGTACCAACAAGGAGCCCACTATGAAGTCTACAATCCATTCTATATGCAACAGCACACTTCACCAGATCCAACTAGGCGCTTCCCAGAAAAATCAGATAACGGGAGATTATACGGATCAGGTAAGAAGATATTAACCCCTTCTCTCTCATATCTACCCAGAAGGCAGGGAAGGATAGCTAGCACCTTAAAGACTAACTGAATTAAAGAGGCATAATATTTTATAGGCAACAGCCTACTTCCTCAAATGCCATGCAGTAAACTTTAGACTACAAAAGCTCATCTCCCTCTGATCCAGTTGGTCTTTAAGATACTACCCTGCTCTGCTTTCTGCCTGATTTCAGACTAAGGCAGCTAACTACCTCTGTCTGCCCAGAAGATTTTAAAGTAGAAGAGAGAAAGCATTTGGGAATACAGAAGCTATGTCTTCCTAAAGTAGTTCTCAGCCTATGGTCTGTGAATCATAGAGCACTTGCTGGTGTGCTGTGAAGAGGCAGCTGCAGTTGGCTTCTCAGAGTTTCAAGTTACTCTACTTGCTCCCTGCCTATTTGTGGCACACAAGAAACTGCATGCATTTCAAAAGAGCTGGACACAAAGCAAAGTGTTTCTCAGCAATAACTGGGAAAGAGAGCTAATTAATCCTGAGCGACTTGAACTGTGCCATTGGAGATGGAGTACTTGGGGAAGGGAGAAATGAGGAAGATGGGGAGAATGTCCAGGGTAGTGAGTGCAGGGAGGGACAGAAGAGGAGCAGGCATCAAAAACATGCTCAGAGGACAGAGGGGAAAAAAACAAGTGCGAAGTGGGGATGATGTAAAGTGACCATATATGCCAATTTCTTCCTATCATATCCTGGAAGCTTCTTTTGAGTCTCCAAAAAATATCCCAGTTTTTCATTAGATCATAGTATGGATATGGATCTTTTAATAACTGCAAATAGTGACAGTCTGGCTGCAGAGATTAAGAATTCTGTGTTTTGCATTTATTGAGTACTGACAGATGGAATGAGTGCCCAGTGTGATGAACAGTGCATAAACTGAACAACTAATTCATTTGTGTATTCTTTTCAAAGCTGCTCTTTTGTTGAAAATGAAAGTTAAGGATATTCATTCCATATTATTTGTTTGTTTTTTGAAAATCAGCTCAGAAAATTCCTGCACTCTTGAGAAATGTGCCTGCCTCATTGAGTCATGAGCTGGCAATAGCAATACCAACATACATTAAAAAATAAACATAATTTTGTGTCTCATCTATTTGCAGCCATAAAAAGTCAGTGTCACAGAATCACAGAAATTAAGGGCCTGTTCTCTTAAAAAAAACAAACCAAAAAATCCAAAAAACCCCCACAACCCCACACTATTAAAACATAATCACTAAGAGAGGGAATGAAAAGCCAAATACATTAATGCACTATTTTGTTCTTTTTTAAAGACAGTGAGTAGTGCATGAATGCTTTCACTTGACTATACTAGCAGTTGCTGCAGCCACAAGAGGTTTATACAACTGTCTTGAACATCTCTCTAAGCTCAGTCTCTCTAAATTTTGGACCTTTTTAAGAAAACATTTCAGACACTTAAGTCTGGAAGCCAGTACTGTTCATTAGAACGCTTAAGTCATAATCGTATAACCTTCCCTTAGGCTTTTCCTTTGCCAGGTTTTTTCCACTTTCACATTTTCTTCCTGTGTATTTTGGGTTGTTTATATTTTGCAATAAGTTGATTTTTCAAACTCTTGAGGGTAACCTAGTATAAGTGTTGAGTTAAACTAGATTTTGTTTTAAAACTACTTAAGGGGAGGATTTCATTTAAAACTTCAAAGATTTCATTTCACAGAGTTCAAACTAGACAGTGGGATTGGCAAAAATGGATTAATTGATGTTGTTTGCTTATTTTGACACTGTTTGGCCTTTGACACCGTTTCCTACCACGTTCTCTCAGAAAAACTAGGTGACTGCAGCATTCATGTCCACACAGTCAGATGGGTGGCAAATTGGCTAGATGGTTGCACGCAGAAGGTGGTGGTGGTTGGGTCATTTTCAGCCTGGAGGGATATGGGCAGTGGAGTCCCCCAGGGCTCAGTCCTGGGGCCTGTGCTGCTCAACATCTTTATCTGCAATCTGGATGTGGGAGTGGAAAGCATGCTGTCCAAATTTGCTGACGACACCAAGATGTGGGGCAACATGGGCATGCTGGAGGGGAGGGACAGAATCCAGCTAGATCTAGACAGGTTACAGAGGTGGGTGGATGAGAATAGGATGGAATTCAATGCGGACAAGTACAGGGTACTGCATCTAGGGAGAAGGAACCAGCAACACACCTATAGGCTGGGGAATACCCTTCTTGTCAACACAGAGGCATAAAGGGATCTTGGAATCATTGTTGACTCCAGGATAAACATGAGCCGCCAATGCGAGGAAGCGGTCAGTAAAACTAGCTGCACCTTGTCGTGCATCCACAGATGCATCACAAGCAGGTCCAAGGAGGTGATGCTCCCCCTCTATGCAGCACTGGTCAGGCCGCAGTTGGAGTACTGCATCCAGTTCTGAGCACTGCACTTCAGGAGGGATGTGGCTAGTATTGAGAGAGTCTAGAGGAGAGCCACTCGCATGGTCAAGGGGCAGCGGGTCAGGCCCTACGAAGAGAGGCTGAAGGGCCTGAATCTGTTGAGCCTCCACAAGAGAAGGCTGAGAGGGGATCTGGTGGCTGTTTACAAACTCACCGGGGGGGCCAGCGGGAACTGGGGGAGGCTCTGTTCCTCTGGGCACCACCTGGGGTTACTAGGAATAACGGCCACAAATTGTTAGAGAGAAGGTTCAAGCTGGACATCAGGAGACATTACTTTACAGTTAGGGCTGCCAGGCTCTGGAATGGGCTCCCAAGTGAGGTGGTGCTCTCTCCTACCTTGGGGGTCTTCAAGAGGAGGCTGGACAGAGATTTGGCTGGGGTGTTCTGACCCCTCACTCGTTCCTGCCCAGGGCAGGGGGTCAGACCTGATGATCTGTTTAGGTGCCTTCTGACCCTAAGCACTATGAAACTATTTATCTTTAGGTGAACAGGATTTTCATTATTTAAACCATTATCACCTACAAATCTAATAAATATTCTTTTAACAATGTACAGATTTGGAAAAAGCCATTTTTTGGTCAGTCTTCTCATCTGAAAAACTTGAACGAGCTGTACTAAAATCATATATCAATATACCAACCTCAAACAATTAAGGTGCATTTTAACTGATTTGTAAATGTTGGCTTTGATTAGGAGAATAAATAACTGTGTAACAGTTTCCTAATAATCATGTGAAAAACTGAGGCACTTCTATAGGAGTTAGTTTTTAAAATATCTTTTCACCCTTTTATAAATCAGGTTATGGGCTTGTGTCTGCTCATCTGCTTCCTTTACATCACAACCATTTGAAGGCCTTATGTTTTCTGTAACCCAGTGTTTCTGTAGTAGATGCTGTGAGCAGCTCAAAAGTTCTGTTTCTTACATGAAAGGAAGGTAATTTGGGATTATTTTCAGATACACAGATCCCTCATTAAAAGGTATCCAAGTACTGCTGTTGCCTTTCCTTCCCTCCTGCAAGTGGAGTTAAACTTCTCCCTCCCCCCCTCCGCCCCCTTTCCTGGTAGGGTTTGTGCTGTATCATGACCGTTCGTGGTAACCAGAACTGATTATTTCCTTTTTTTGCCCCTTTACCACTTTCAACTGAAAATGACTACACCTAATTTTTTTGACAAATAAGGTGGCATCCGTTTGACCTGTGAGTACTGGACTCCTTTTGAAATAAAGGAAATGAAGACCATACAAACGGGAAACTAGTGCAGTGTGGCAAATAACCTTTCCATATACTGAATCAGAAATGGGTCAACTCTGTATTGGAGCCAGCCTCTTGAACTTTGACTGGGGAAAAGTTTTTAAAAGGTGCTGAAACTAGTTGCATGAAGTCAGTCTCATTAAGATTTATTTTGTTTATTCTCACTGTTAATATGTTAGAACAATTTGCCTCAGCTGGGCAAAGGATAAGTGAGTGTTGATTCTAATTGCCTGCACTATTCTGCCATTCTTCTAAAGTGTAGACTTTGCTATGGTGTTGAGTTCACTTTGTTCTTGTGAACTCCAGTTAAATTACTGCATCTGGAGTTTAACACAGTTGTGCAGTTCATTAATTTACACCTTGTCATCAGCCTTTCTTCCCTCTGGCTTCCCTGTTCTGCACCAGATTGACTTCATAGTTCTACCTATCCTCTACAAAGCTTGCTAAGAACTGTTTTTTGAGACCAGCTACCTATCCATGACACAACAACACAGCTGCAATACACAAGTGCAGCAACCAGCAAAACCTAGGCTACAACTCAGGTGCAATAGAGAGCCCTCTCGGTGGTGTGTGTTCTGCGGAACTTCTTCACTACAGGGTTTGGGTTTGGTTCCAAGTCAGTTATAAAGAAAAGTCTTTTCTCTCTCAGCTGAAGTATTTTGCCAACAGCACCACTTCCTGCCATTGAGAAGGAGAGAAACACTTCAAGAAAAAAGGAGAGAGAGGTGAAAGTCTGGAAATTAGAGAAACAAATTAATTATACCTTTGGTTTGGTGTTTAGCATATGAGCACTTTTATTTATTTATTTTTTAATTTGGGCCAGTAGAAACAAAACACTGACACTGGAGTAATACACAGGAATTGCATGAGGTTGGAATTATTACATGTTTGCAAAGGAAATCAGATAAGTTACCTGTATTATCAATCTCATGTTTATATATGGTAACAGTAAAACAACCTGTCTAGAGACATTGCTTACTGGCTGGTGAATGTATATTACCTGGAACTGCCTTCACCTCTTCACATGAATGACTGGTGCCTCCTGAGACTAGGGAGGGGCACCATGGCGGTGACCGAGGACTGCCCACAGGCACTGGCATCTCCCTAATGTTCTTGATGCACAAAAATAAGTTTAAAAGGAAAACTCCATCTATATCTTATATTTATGTCTCTGAAAGATGCAGTTTTACTCAGTTGCTTCCTTACTTAATGTTGTATGTGACAAGTATTGAAACATTTGTATTTATATCCCCCCAGAGTAGGATTAGGAGTCTCTGATCTTTTTCAGAATCTGCTTCTTTTGTCCAAAACGGAGCAAACATGGTTAAATGTCTCTTGGCTTGTGTGAATTGGGGAAAGTGTAGAGAGCTCTGTGTGCTCTGTCTATTGTTGCCTCTATTTTCAGCTGTAGGAAGGAGTGGAATAGCTTTAAATATTCTGCTGGATCACCTTTCTCCACACCTGGGAGTCCTCTTAGTCTTAGGTTATTTCTTATCTCATGATTTTCTGTAATCTCATTTTTTCTCTTCCCTCCCACCTCATCATCTTAATTTTATTTTGAAATGTTTCTACTGATTTCTTGCTCTCTGCCTTTATCTCTAGACCTATAACTTTTCCCCCTATTACTTTTGTCTCTGCTTTGATTTTATCAAACTGCCTCCACAGAAGATTTTAAAACTCTGATTTCTGAGCATGTAGTCCATTTCAATTTCCTGAGCACCCCATGGTTTCTTGCATTCTTAGGTAAAGTAAAACATGCAAAAGTTTTTTGGGGTTGTTTTTTTCATGGAAGTTTTCACTTATGTATGCCTATTTCTTGGCAATTTAGTTTTGAGTTGCTATAAATAAAGCCGGTTGCCATTTTTTTCAAATGAAAAATGTTTTAATTAAATATTGACCTCTTCAGAAAGCAGTTTATGAAAAGCCAACTCTTTGACCAAAACCTATTTTCAATAAATTTTTAATAAAATGTTTAAAAATTCAAAGGGCAGTGCAGGGTATCAGTCCAAATACATCTAAGATGGACTGAACTTCTTCAAGCCCTCAACTGCTTGAATGGGCTCATGACCAGGTGAAATAAGTGTTTTAAGGATATTTGCTAGCTTTGAAATTGTAGTTTTGAATCTGGCATTTAAGAACAACTTCCTGCTCTGATTTTTTTTTTTTTTCCTTCAGAAAGAATGCTAATGTCACTCTTGCTGTTCAAAGCAGATAAGCAGATCTTTTTCTCTCTGCAGTATGTGATTTAAGAAGTAGCACAGTCCCCGGGTCACCAGACTTAAGTCGTTCAATGCTTGATCTTACAAGTCCACCCCACAGATTCATTAAGGTGAGCTCCTTTTGATAACTCTGGCTACACCCAGAAACTCTTTGCTTTTGTGTACCTGTCTATGTTACTATCACATTTCAAGAATAAACATTTCAGGGGTCATTGTGCTGTTCAGTGGTAGAACTAGAGAAGAAAGTTCAACAGCCTAACTGATTTCAGGTTCTTTCCCAATACCTCCCACCTCCCCCACCCCTTCTGTCCCTAAAATCAGTTGGGAAACTTGAGTCAGTTGGTAATCAGAACAGTGCAAGCAACTGAGTTCCCAGTATTGCATTTCCCTGCCGGATGCAAGAATGGACATTGAGAAGATGAAAGGGGATCAATTGTCCTTCGATGCAACAAAGAATAATGTTCTTACCAGCTCCCATTTTATGCTAAGGGCAAAACAAGTCTTATCTAGCAGTAGAGAAAAAGGTGACTGCTGACAGATGTTGCATCTTGCATCAATTCTCAACACCAAAGAATTCTGCTCCAGGAGGTTAGTAGGGAATGAGTTGATAGTGTGGACCAGAATAAACTCTTAGTAATTTCAGATTTTTGTCATAATTCTGTCTTTTGTCGTGATATCTTGTTGAGCTCTCTGTAGCAGTGACCACTTCTGACTAAAGTGTTTTTTTTTTCCAGAGGTATGATTCACTGTCCAGTGTGCCTAGCAGCACCTCTTCAATGAAGGATTCACATGGCAGTAACAGGAGTCTGGGTAATAATAGCTGTTTGTTTTCACACCCGCAGTGGAATAATTTATTTCATGTACAGGCAACTCTCGCTTAACGTGGTTTTACTTACCGCGGTTTCATTATAGTGCGCATTTAAAATACCTACCTGGTTTCACTCAGCACTCAGCGTGTTTCGTTATAACACTCAGTGCGGGGGTGGAGAGGAGTGGCAGTGGCAGCGTCGAGTGAAGTGGTGAGTGGGAGCCCAGGGAGGGGTGGCAGGAGCCTGGGGTCCACTCTGGCATGTGGTGCTGAAGCTGGATGGGGAGGAGCGGTAGCAGGGAGAAGAGGCAGGTGGGGGCCAGGCAGTGTGAGCTTGGAGCCCAGGCCGGTGGGGCCCAGGGCGGGGTGGCAGGAGCACAGGGTCTGCTCTAGCACGTGGTGCTGGAGCGGCCAGCAGGTGGGGAGGAGTGGTGGCGGCAGTGAGAAGGGGCTGGCGGGGCAGCAGGAGTGCGAGGCCCAAGCCAGTGCAAGCTGAGCCCACATTACTCCCCCACTCCCAGGCTGTAGCCTATGCCCTGTTCCACTTCAGTCATGCACTCATCCATGGGGCACAGATGCTGTACCGAGCCTGCAGTGATCTGGCGGTGGCAGCTTGTCCCAGTGCCAGGTGCTCTGGAGGGAGCCCCCGCTTGGCAAAGCGGAGCATGGGTGGGTGGGTGTGTCCCCACTGCTACCCTGTGCCAGAGCCCTGCTGCCTTCTCACCATAAATCACTGGGCAGGTGAATCCCCGACCCAGGCCCCATGGACGGGGTGGCTGGAGCTGCACACAGGTGCACTGGTGGCCAGCGGATATGGGCCAGCAGGGGCCTTCGAAGCAGGAGGAACAATGAGGCCAGGAGGAGCTGATACCTTCCCTGGCAGAGCCTGTGTGGTGCCTTGCTAGGAACAGCCCAGCCAGGGCCAGCAGGAGTGCAGGGCCTGGGCTGCCAGGTGGCATGGAACCAATGATCTTTATTTACATTAAATCCTATGGGGAAATGGGTTTTGCTTAATGCTGTTTTGCTTAGCACTCAGTTTTTCCAGAACCAATTAAGAGTGCTATTCAGGGGTTGCCTATAGTGAAATTAAAACTATTGATTCATGTTACTGCAGCTGATGATTTGAGGCAGTGATGCCATAGAGCAGCTGGTTAGGTGATGATTTGAAATTTCTTACCTGCATGAGGTATTAGCTTCAATACAGGGTAACTGCGTGAAATGGTAATGGCATTTGATATACCAGAGGTCAGACAAAGTGTACTGGTGCCTTCTAGCTTAGCTTCAAAAGCTGAATATTGTCATAGCTTCTTTGAATGAATTCTGAGATAATGTAGAGATTCTGAAAACACCAACTATTTGTTCATTTGTTTCTCTACAGATACGTTATCAGGTGACGAACGAGACTTTGGAAGACTGAACATCAAGTTGTGTTATGTTACTTCTGTAGAACAGATCTGGATTACACTCTTGAATGTAGGTGACCACAGCTGATCTGATGTAGTTTGTCCATATGGATACCTTTATTAGACTTGATTTACAGAAGCAGAGGGTCAAATCTAGCTGGGAGAATGGATGATGCTGATTTTTTTCTGCCACTCCACCAAAAAAAAAGGAGAGTCAGCTTAAAAGCCACTTGTAATTTGGCTTAAATATAATAAATTTACCATGCTGCTTTTAAGCTCTTTTCCCCTTCTAGATGTTTTTGTCTGCCTGTAATCACTGAAGTGCTTCCTTTTGTCACCACTGGCCTAAGGGGATAATACTTGACAAACCCTCCCATCCAAATTACCACGATTGTTTGTTTGTGGTCAGGGGACAGAACCTGGCCCTTTGTAACAGGTTTACTTCTGAAATAAGGCTTAGTGAAACAACTTAATTCCTTTAGTTCATCTGTGAAAAATCCATGACCTATGCATCCGCTATTTTTAGGATATGTAAATTTGTATCTACTAGCCTAGGCTGACAAGTATGCTTCAACTGTTGTACAGTTCCATGAACTATGAATATTTTTTGGTGACAATATTTGATAGCTTGGGTCCTGAAACTCATTAAATGGTAGAAACTGTCTTGGGGGCATTCTTGTGATTAACTGCTCTTGTAATGCCATGTAAGGAATATACATATAGTTTCTAAATAGCTTTCCTATCTTGCTGCAGTTATTGATGCATAAATCCTCTTGATTTCTTTCCACATACAGTAAAAAAGATGTGCGCTTCTAAACTAACCTACAGCTAAAGACTTAAGCTGCCTAAAATAACTCTGTTTCCAATATTTCAGTGCAAAGACCTGTCCTGGCCTTCTAGCTACGGAGAAAATATTTCCATTTCTGTCAAGGGAATCCTTACACTGCCAAAGCCAGTGCAGTTCAAGTCCTCAGCCAAAGAAGGTTCCAGCGTAAGTGACGGTTTGAAGCATCAGTATATCTTGATACAAATATAAATACTTTTGATTTTTGACTCCTTTCACTTTCTTCATACCAAGTTTTATCTGATTATCTTTTGGAAACTATTATGACTTTAAAGTTAAAACAGAGACCAGTCTTGTTTCATTTCCTCATCACGTGCTGCAGATTTTTTTTGTTTTTACCTGTGTGTGACTTCTATAAAACTGCTGAAAACAGTATAGGTTTCATAGTCTTCCTACAATGCTATACCTTGCCGGGTTATGTTGTGGTAAAACTACAGAGCCTTGTCTGTTAGGATTTTTTCAGTGAGATAATTCAAATTAGCTGTCTCGTCTTCTGGAATCTGAGAGAGCCTAAGAATTTTTCCAGCAACATCTACTGTAGGACTTTGTGGTAGGTAGCCATGTTAATCTGGAGTAAGACAGAAGAGTGGCACCTTAAAGACCAACTAGCTCAGAGAGGCATGAACTTTCATAAGCAATAGTCTGTTTCATTAGATGTTATCGTTTTGGGTCTAGGTTTAATGACTTGGGCAGCTCTTTAGTGCTTTAGTTGTATTGTTTGATTACATACTTATTCTTCCTTCTAGGACATCAAATTCATGGAAACCTTTGTGTTTGCTATTAAACTGCAAAATCTTCAGCCTGTCAGATTAGTGTTTAAAATCCAAACTCAGACTCCCAAGAAGAGAACAATTGGAGAGTGCTCTGTGTCACTGCGAGAACTCAGCTCCCAGGAATCTAACTATTGGCTTCATATAACCCCTCCTTCCAAAATTGCAGTAAGTGACTGACATTCTCTTACATGCCATATACCATGAAAGTTAATGGGACAGAAATTAGGGGTGTGCAGAATGGGCCGTATTCAATCCAACAGTGATTTGATTCGTTGATTCGGATCACTCCCTGATTCGATTCGGCCGAATCTGAAGATTCGATGCTGATTCAAAGAATCGGTGATTCAGCCATAGACACAGCTTTAAATGTTTTTTCTACATACCTCGAGGTACCGTGTGCAGCTTGTGAATGCTGCGATGGTGGGGCAGATGCAGCGCGTTCCCCCGCAGACCCGGAAGTGGACTGGAAGTGCTTCTGGTCCACACCCCCCCCTCTTTACTCCATCTGCCCCACCATTGCAGCATTCACAAGCCTGGTACCTTGAGGTATGTAGAAAAAAACATTTAAAGCTGTGTAAATATCCGAATTGCCAAATCTCTACAAATCGATTTGGAGGGTTCCAATTAGATTCAGAGAGATTAAAGGGTCTCCTGATTCGATTCGGAGATTTGGCCACCGAATTGGGCCGAATCTCCGCTAAATCAAATCAGGGACTGAAGCTTTGCACAGCCCTAGCAAAAAGTAAAATAATCAAGGCCTAATTGTGGAAGTCTGAGCACTAATAGCCAACACCTTCCAGCAACTTTTCATGCATTTTATCCCAAAAGGTTTCACCAAGTTTTGCACAGCAACACTTATAATTATGGTCCCAAAATGCAGATGTTTCTTTGGCAAAGGGTTGTAACCAGCTATTGCACAAAAGAAGCTTTCAGCCAAGGACAAATGCTTTGTCCTACAAAAACATTACAGGCTCCATATTGCTCTCACAGAACAGACAGGACCTATATATTTATGGAGGAAAAGTGTAGTATATTTATCTGTATTGATATTTTGAAATCATACATATATTGTATTCAACTGCATGCTCTGCAGCAATTATTGCTCTGGAGCAATAACTGCTATCACCATCATAAACAGCAGGTGGTTTCTAAGTGTTAAAGGAAAGCGTAATAAAACCTGTGTTGATTTATAAGCAACTAACATTAAAGTCAGCATTTGAGAAATGCAATAAATAATTCATTTTGACTGTTTCTGTTCAAAACCTAGTACAGCAATTCACCAACAGTTTGGCAGTTGTTGCAGAACTTTATGTATCAAAACATCAGGATCTTTTCTCTCATTGTGGATTTCCTGCAATTTAACTATTTCTTTCTAGAGAAAAAAATATACATGGGTGCTAATATATTCTATAATTTAAAGTTTATATCCAAATTCATTAACTTAAGTTTATCTTAGAATCTACATAAATATTCCAATACAAATAATACTTGCCCTGATTGGGTCTTACTCATGAATAACTACAAATGGTCTTTCAGGAACAAACAATTTCCATTAAACAAGTAAAACGAGAGGCTACTTTCCCAGCGTAAGACTTAACATTGAAAATTGTTCCCCTACCTATTTATATGGACTTCATAACTGTAGTTTTGAGAGCTTTGCCTTAGTACTGGAAAGTGTACCTGTAGCACCTTGTAAGGTAAGGAAGAAGTATACCAATTTCCCAGGTAGGGAACCAAGGCAAAAATGGATCCTGATTTAACCAATTTCACAACTGAAATCCGTCTCTGCTGTGGCAAATGGATTCAGTTCTTGTAGACCCAGCCCAATAGACCCTGTTTCCTTTCTCTCCCCTTTCTACTCCTACAGGTTCATGTATCTCCCACTTAGAGTAGTTGACCCAACTGCAGAGTGCCAAAACTCTTAGTCTTTGTAAAAGTACATGAGATTAGGCTCTCTGTCCAGTGGCCCACTCCCTGGAATTGTTCAAGGCAGCCAGTGCTCGCTGGAGCTTAGATACGTGGATGCCTGGAAGTTGGATGGTAAGGATGCCTTTGGAACATCACAGGAGCCAATGTACATTTGAGACTCGTGCTGGAAAACTAGATCTAAAGACTTAATGGATCTGAGAACCTGATCTGACGCTTTCTGAATAGTCCTAAGAATCTGTTGTTACTGTTTGTTCTGTAGCAGAATCCTTTAATCCTCTGTATAACAACAGAGATTTACGTAATGCCTAGAAGACTCAGATGAACTCTGAAAAGAAATACCCACCCCCGCCCAGTCCAATGCTTGAGGCTTTAATTCAGGTGGAATTCTGTTGGTTTGTTTTATTTAGAATCCAATCTTTTCATGTAGTTTCATATAGTAATTGAAAAAGGGAAGACAAATACTGAAAATGTCAGTTAAAAGCCATGTTTTGATTATAGCTTTTACAAGAGCTTTCTCAGATGTTCTAACAAGTCTCAAAAATATAGATCCTGAAAATGTAATTTAGATATAGTATTCATTGAATATGAGTCTTAAATTTTGCTCCTGTATTTGCATTGGGAACTGTGCCTTCAGGAGTATGGGGAGCACAAGGCAGCTAGTCACCTACAAACATACAAGGCATGTTGTGGGTGGTGGAATAAATCTGGTGTCATTTCACTTTCCATATAACTAAATTGCAGTGTTTATATACAATGTCATCTAAATGTTAAGGCAACATTCTTCTTTCTGTAGGTGTGCCATGCTGAACTTCAAATAGGAACCTGTTTTCAAGCAATAAACAGCAGAATTCAGTTACAGATTCTTGAAGCGCAAAACCTGCCAACTTCATCTACACCTCTGTCCCTAAGTAAGTAGGTTAGCTATCTCAGACCTTCTCTCTAGAAATATTTGTGACTCGTAGAATACAACTTGAATAGCTTGGTAATTTCTAACATTCTACATGAATCTCAAACTAACATTAACATTATTCAGTGCAGTAGACTTCTATTGCCAAGTTTTGCTTCCACATTGTCACTTTTGATTTAAGTTTTTGGTTTGAAGATGCAAGTTTGTGTGTGTTGGAAATCTTTTGTCCTAATATTAATTCTGACATGCAAGAGCATTAGCTTGCACTAGCTGTCTGGATGCTGTGTTAAGCATGCCAATATTATTGAACAAATTATTAATGAAAGCTATTTTACTGTTCTCCCAATGCTTAAACTTTTGGCCAAGCTTTTAGGTAATTGTTTCAATATAAATACACACATGGATTTTGTCAGACTTTGTTTTTTGAATAACCTCTTTGTGTATCACACCCTTCCCCACCTCTTTACCTTAGATTTTTTTGTGAAAATTTCAATGTTCAGTACAGAAGGGCTGATATACAAGAAAAAGACTCGTTTACTGAAGGCTACCAATGGCCAAGTGAAGTGGGGAGAAACAATGATTTTTCCAGTTAACCAGAATGAACACGAAATTAGTTTTCTCATCAAACTCTACAGCAGGAGCTCAGTGAGAAGAAAACACTTTCTGGGACAGGTTGGTTTTATTTTTCTTGAACGTTGTTAACTACCATAGTGATTTTGTTTTGGTCATGATCATCTATTTAATCCCTTTAATAAACTAACTGTACAGTGGAATGGTAGATTTTTATTTTTTTTTGGTCTCACCCTGAAAACAAGAAAGTACTTCAGAGTGTCAGTGTGTCCCTAAGCTGCCTTAGAAGCAATAATGGGAGTTTAGGAGGTGCTCTGTGTCCTTCAGAGGGCATTCACATCTTGCAGGATTAGGCTTATTGATCATATTTCCTCTGGAGTGCCACCATCTGAAAGATTCTTTTGTATGCGTATACACACAGATTATCTCCTCCTTGCTGAATACCTTAGACATTTAAAAGTGAAACAAAACTGGTATTCACTGAAGCTCTGCAGGCCTCAATACCCTCTACAGGAAGAAGGTGTATCAGCTTGCAAATCTGCAAATGAGTATGGTTAGAAAGAAATACCAGTAGCTTAAATGATTGTCTCCCCCTGCTCTCGTTTCTCTGTCAGGTTAAGCAGATGTCAAAAGTAAAAGTACTCTGAGTACATGTGACCCAGGTAATATATGTGGTGACTGATTGTTCAGATCAAGATCTGGATAAAATGCTTTGGGATACAAACCCCTTTTTTTTCACCTTATTGTCTTGAAAATGCTGTTTTCATATTTAGAGTTTTTGATTCATCCCTTTTAAATGTCTCTTCTTTTCTCCCAAGTTGCCATCATACTCTTCCATCTCTCCTCCTTGACTATAGGTTAGTGGTTCTAACATGACACGGCCAACCTGCAGCTCGTACCCCACAATTGGCATGGGCAGTCTCTGCGTGTGGCATAGCACAGCAGACTAGGGAGGGGACAGGGAGCAGAGCAGCAGATAGGGAAGGGGAGTGGAATCAGAGTGGCACACAAGGAAGGCACAAGCTAATTTGTGGTATGACTGCCAGAGAGGTTGTGCTCCCCCCCCGCCCAGCTAACACATGCTAAGGGCTTTTTGGACTCTCCCAGAGCCTTCCCTGCTAATTAGTGGGAACTATTTCTACAGCATGCCATGCAACTAACATATGCTGTTTCTTGAGATCCTCCAATAGCTTTGTCTAGTGGTCACTTTCTCTAGCCTGGTAAAGAGGTAGTTTTCAATACTGTTAAGCTTCTCCTATAAACAGCACACAATATTTTAAGTGCTAAAGAAGCTGTATCTTATTCTGAACAATTGTAACTTGAGCTTCCTTCATACTTTGCAAAACAGCATTCCACACTTGTGCTGGACCTCACATACCTGTCATCCCATTATAAAAGAAAAATGCAAGTCCTTTTTAGCGTTGTTTTAGTGTAGGGTGACTAATTGTGCAGGAAGCTGCATTTATCAAGCAATATGTGGCAGCACCTCAGCAAACAGGGTTTCCATTATTAAGAGCTCTTTTTAGAAAAAGAACTTAACATGTACCACCCTTGTTTTCCAGACCTGATTTGCAAAGATTGGTTAGGCTTAAACAGACACATACCACCATATCAGGCATCAAACATGGCTGTAGGAAAAATATGCGGTGAGCGATTGGCTATGGAGCTAGGAAGGGATTAAAGTAACTGTATCCAGTAACTTTAGAAAATATAGTATTTAATTGAATGACATTCTGAGACAACAATTTATAGCTTAAAAATTACATTATGTTGTTTGTAGCCATGTCTTTAATCAAGAGCAAAACAACTGCATAAAGGGGTCTCTTTTGAACCTTCTCCAGTATAACCTCATAAATCTGGCATGCTTGGGACTTAGCACCTGCCAGAAATTTGTTAAATTCCAGATTTTTGAAACCGGAATGGTGGCCAGTTGCAGGGGAGGGTAGCAGCAGCCGCACGCAGAGTGGTGGTGCGGGGTGGTGGATAGCGGCGGCAGTCACCGCATGCAAGCTTCCCTTTCTGCTGCTCCAGGACTGGCTGCCTCTACTCCCTGATGTAATGCATTTTTTAAAAGTGCCAGATTTTCGAGAATTCTGAGTTTTTGATATCCTGACTTATGAGGTTATACTGTATATACAAGATCATTGTTTTAGCAGTTCTCTGAATGGCAAAATTTCCACTGCCTGTTCCAGGAGTCCTGCCAAAGGACTACAGGATCATGCATTCAAACCCCATTGAACCAAATTATCAAACTTCAGTCATTAAGGTTTATATATTAGGAAGATTTATTGTTTTGAAGATTTATTCTTGTTCTTATATATTAAGATTTATTCTTTGAAGAGTGGAAGAAAGAATAAAGAGCCCCCTAAACAGATTGTGTTTTGCTTTTCCAAATGATTTATGGTAGTGGAACCTGCTGGAGTAGTTGGGAAGGAACTTCCTCCTTTTGCTGTGCACTTTACTTCCTCATTTATTCCTCTATCTATTACTTGAGTGCTTATGACAAACTGATTCTTCTTGTATAATATGTTATGAGTACATACCTTCACTTATTACTCAGGCAAAAAGTCCATCAACTTCAGTGGAATGTAGGGTTGGGCCTCATTTGCTAAATTGAGAATTCAAATGCTTGTGAAAATGATGGGTGGCTAACCCTGGCTGTGGGCTGGGGTGTCATGTCATGCAGTTTAAATGTTAGCTCCTGTAGAGCCTTTTCCTAGATTAGACAAGCAAGCTGTATGACTCCAGTGAAGTCCTGACTGGCAGCACATTTTGATTCAGAGATCACAAATACATATTTACTGTGTGTGTCTTGCTAGGTGGAAAATTGTTCATCAGTATCTGTGATGAATCCACCAAACGTCTAATCCCTCTATGATGAACAGTCTAATGTTTCCTAGTCCACAGGCCTGACTCTGTTAACTTTGGCAGAATGTTATTAGTGTGTTGTTGTTTGCACTGTACAGATGCATGCATACAATATCCAATTGGGAGAAGCGAGGAGAAGATTGGTAAGTAATGTGGTCAATAATGTGAACTTTATGATGGCTCAAGAGCATTTTTTGTTTCTTATCACAGGTCTGGCTAAGTTCTGATGGCAGTAGCAGTGAAACAGCTGATCAGTGGAGAGATACAATCACAAACCCTGAAAAGGTTGTCATTAAATGGCACAAAGTCAGTCCATCTTGAAGATGTCAGAGACAGGACTCGGAACTGATGTGAACTTTATACAAGATACTTCTGCAGTGTTAAAGTGAAGGAATAAAAATATAGTGCCTACTTGAGTGTTCCAGGGACCCATGCCCTGCACCACATAACATTAACCAGAAAAATTTCAAAGGCAGAAGAGACCAGATTTTCATGAAGAGTAATTCTGGCAAGATGCTTGAAATACAGAAATGAGAATTAGTTAAACTTTTAGTCTGATGTAAAAAAACACCTCAAGAAAAGAAATGTTAATGTTTACACTTTTTTTCCCAAACAGAATTCTACCACATGGCTTTACATTGACATAAGGGCTACCTTACAAGGAGTCTGTGTGTGCTTTAAATTTGCATAACAAAGACCTCAAAGGGGGTTTTGTATATGTATTGCTGGTTTTATTTTCTTCACAATGTTTCTATGCTTCTCTTCTGTTTCAATAGAAACCCCATCCTTGTCTACCCTTTTTCCATGAAAATATCTCCAAGTGGTACAAAAAAGAAGTATTATGATATTGTAGATGCGTGGAATTGAAACCTAAGAAGTGATCAAGTGACAGGCTGTTGGTGGGGGGGAGGAGACAGGTGATAAGAGGTAAATCACTGATAAGAGAGAAGCTGCAATCCATAATGGAAATATTGTATTGTTGATACTTTACCTGAAACCTTTGCAGAACCAGGTAATTCTAGACTTAAAATTCTTGATGCTTCAAAGATAAAACAGTAACCTCCCTTTCACATCATCTTCATTAATAAATAAGAGGGAACTTGCTTTCCTCTCTCCCATCCCTCCAGACCCAGTCCACGTTCCCATAACAGTATTGGCATCATGTTTCTGAGGGTAATAAGTTGAGATTTTTCACTATCCTGTGACCAGTCTGTTCTAAAACCCTGTCCTTGGTCAGGCTCACACTGCTGTCAGTGAGAATCTACACAAATAGGGGCTTGACAGCCAGTACCTCTCCTTTAAAGTCACAGAGTCAGATGGGTATTGACTCCATTTGGACAGAATGAAACAAACATCTCAACAAATTGGCAGATTTAGTGGGCTAGGCCCTTAGTTAGCACTATTAAGGAGTGAGCAACACACAGGAATTACGCAATCATTCTTTGTGATGAGCCAATCCCCAAGCACTAATTAGACCCTGCCAGCCAGTACCTCTCCTTTAAAGTCACAGAGTCAGATGGGTATTGACTCCATTTGGACAGAATGAAACAAACATCTCAACAAATTGGCAGATTTAGTGGGCTAGGCCCTTAGTTAGCACTATTAAGGAGTGAGCAACACACAGGAATTACGCAATCATTCTTTGTGATGAGCCAATCCCCAAGCACTAATTAGAGTCCAAAGGCTGTGCTAAATTGTGCCAGCTGGCGAAGTGCCATTATGGCAGCCAGGGATGATTACAACAGGGTATGGACACATGAAATAATTATTCCTGTTTGTATGGGAGAATGGAATTGTTGCTTTTCCAGCTGATCTTTTGTTATGGTTGTGTGTGTCTGCTCTGTCCTGCAGGAAGATGAGCTGCTTCATTTTGGTGTCAGCTGCTCTGGTGTAGGTGTCTCCTCTTCCTTCCCGCCTCCCCCCACCCAAACAATGTGGGATAGGGACAAACACAGGAAACAGTTACAAAGGATCAGCTGCTCCATGCTCATAGTCAGTATGTTTCCTCCCACTGCCATTTTTAAATTAGGATCGTTGTTTCATCTGTCTATAGCCTAAAAAGCATGGATCCCCTTTCTCCTGCTACTCACTATTCTTACTACTGGGAGGGGAATGGAAGTATAATTACTGTTGGGGCTAAACTGTACCACCCAAGGATCTGTTTAAAAAGGTGAGATCTTCCATGGCTGATCTTTTTGGTTTAGGGATGCTTTGTGCCAGTTGCATGGTGTGAAGTAGCCACTGGGATGTGGGCCAGTATTTTTAGGTAAACCAGTTTCTTCTGTTTTAATAAACTATTCCTACATTATATAATCAGCAATGTTGTAGCATTTGCTTACATTTTCTTAAAAGCCAAAGTAACCTTTACTGTGGAATAAACAAATATTTACTGATAGAAATGCTTTTAGTGTGTTCAGTAAAAGAGAGCACAATGAAAGGTTCAAGTTTTGTTTAAAAGGCAGGTTGATATCATCAAGAAGGCATTCTAATATAGTTCTAAACAGCTGAAAAGAGTAACAATTTTGGGTGTATTTTTGTTGCTTGTTTGTAATGGTGAGATTTAAATTACCATATTTTTATTGTGGAAGGAATAGTAAATATCTGTGCCATGCCATCTACCTATACTATAGTTAACTCAAATGTTTATCCATTAGTCCCTGTATTTTCAGTGGTTTATTTATAGCTTAATAGCTATTAGTTAAGCAGAAAAAATGGACTAAAATTTGTGACTTGATACATAACCTGTGTATGTGTGACATGCGCACGTACACACACACACACAGAGCTAAAACCATGCATCTTTTTGCATTCCTTTAATTCCTTGGATTTTTAAAAATGAAATCCATCACTGATGTCCCTTATTTGATATATATTTATATATACCAATATTTATTTATAAATAGATATATAAAATGTGCACATGCACACTACCACTTAGTGTGTAAAGGGCTATTAAAGAAGGGGTAAACTTTTTTTGTCTATCTTCAATTCCCTTCAAACATCTTAAGTTTGAACCAGAATGCTATTGGACTCATCCCCTGACTTAAAGGAACACGTGACTGCATGAAAAAACTAAGAGTGGCAGAGTGAATATGCTCATGGAACAACACATGGCATAGAGTCCCAGGAACCACTTTGTAATATTTTGATTGTGGAGAGTAGGTTATAAGCAGGGATCCAGGTTTTCTGTTTTCCATGGAAAAATGGAGTAAAACATGGATTTTACCTTTTACCAGAGGCAAATGTGGATCTCTCATTTTACCGGAGAAGCCTGTGGATTTTGCAGATTTGCAATGAGCTTCCTGCAGGCTGGCACAGTTCCAGCCTGCAGAGGGCTGGGGGTGGGAGGAGGGCAGGGGGCGGCACATACATGCGTACACACATGGCTCCAGGCAGCCTGAAGAACAGCTCCCACAGTGTGGGGCATAAGTGTGGGGCGTGGGGGACTGAGGCCCTGTAGGAAGGGAGGGAGCTGGGCAGGCCTGGGGCTGCTGCCCAGCCAGGTGGTGCATGGGGCTTGGGGCCCGGGGCCACAATGCACTGCTGCAGGGCCCCAGCAGGGAGCAAGGCGGGACTACAGGTGGCTCACCCAGGAGATGGGGAGGGAAGGGCCGGCTCCCTGCCATGGCATGTACTTCTGGGGGGTGGAGGACCCACACCCCCAGATCTGTGTGTGGGGTGGGCACGGGCAGCTCACTCAGAGTTCTGCCTTGCTTCCCTCCTCTGGGGCCTCCACAGCTCAGTGGGCACGACCTGCATGGCAGGGAACAACAGAGCACGCGGCAATCTCCTTGTGCTGTGAGCTCTGCACTGCCCTGGCACCACACCCCTGCACGTGCCACGGCTTTGAGGGGCACAACCCCACGCTACTGCTCTCACCCATGTGCCAGAGGCGCATCACCAGGGCAGTGCTGCTTGCAGTGGTGAGCAGTTTCTCTGTGCAGCTCCACTGTTCCATGTCATGTTGGGTCATTCTCACTGGGCTACAAAGGCCCTG